TGGTCCTTTTTACTTTTTATCTAAATACATTTTATTTTCATACATTTAGTTTTCTTCTTTTAATAGATTTTTTTAATTTTATTATGAAAAATGATGCAAACAGACAATATCACTCATTGAAACTAAGCAGACCCAAAGACTATACAACTCAGTGTATTTTTATATAGTCACAGTAGTCAGAGGGAACAGAAGCCTTGGAGTCTTATGTGGGATTTATTTTATATTTTCACAATCTATTATATTTTTATTTACTTATCCACCACCAAAACTTCAAAAACCTTTGATAGAATTAGAACTAGGAAAGCACTTCGCATTATATCCTTTTTCATTATATCCTGGTCTTCATTACATGAACTTTATTACCTTTAATTTAAATATATTTCCACATTGACTTATGAACAAAAAATATATTGGTGCCTAATTGTTGTATAAAATGGACTATATCCTTATATATTGTTGAATAAGAGTCCATGTGCCATGTAGCCTCTATTTGTGAGATCTGTCCCATTTCCTTGAATCCTGGTTATAAAAATGCATACTGTGATACATGGATTGGTTTCACAATATCTTAGAAATGTATGGAGTTAAAAGAGACTTAAATCTTGGTTCTTAGTACTAAATAATACTTGATTCCTGATACAAAAGTTTTTTAACATACTATATAGTACAGAACGTGGCAACTCTGTGTGGCTTGATTTTGCCATGAAGCTGATGTTCTTGAGTGTAGATTCAGATTGTTGTAGCATGAATAATAAAAACCCAGAGACAGATATTGGAGTTCAACCTGAATATCAGAGCAGCAAAGGAGCCAGCCACTAGAAAGACCTTTTACCTCTACCAAATCTTCAGACCGAAGGGGTGAGATCCTGTCTCCACGAATCCTCAGACTCCTCACTCCACTTAGTTCTTGTCTCTTTCCTTTTATATTCCTCTCTTGGCCTAGTCATATCACTCTTGTTTCAACTTTTCTAGTGCTGGGATTAAAGGCATGTGATCCCAACTGCTGGGATCTTTGTGTGAGCTCTGTTTCTTTTTTAGACATATTTAATCTTGTGTAGCCATGGGTGGCCTTGAACTCACAGAGATCCGTCCGTCTCTGTCTCCCAAGTCCTGGCATTACAGTTGTGTGTCACACTTCCTGGCCTGTATAACTGACTGGTGTGGCTGCTTTGCTCTCTGATCTTCTGGCAAGCTTTACTTATTAAATACAAATAATATGCCTCTATAGATTGATTCACATTGTTGTCTACTTGTATTTCTTTTTTGGTGTTTAATATCATGGTAATGATGACGTGCCCATGTGCTTTTTGACACCTGCTATCTGCTTATCTCAGAAGAATTGCTGCTCACATCACTCACTTGGTTAAGATATCAAATGTAGCTGATGTGAATTTTTATCTGCTTTATAGTAGCCCAAATATTCTTATAAAATTAATTTCTTAGAATACTTGATCTGATATGTTAATATTAAATGGACAGTATTCAGTGCTATTACTATCTTTCTTACTATGGGAAAAAAAGTAAAATCAGTCACATATTCTGCCTTCCATACCTACCCCTTTGCTATTTAATGGCGTGGCATTGGACCTAGAGTTTACACATCCCACCTAAGCCTGTTAAAATAGAGTCATGTAAGGCCCGAGTACAGACAGGATTGATTCAGTGTCACGTTTCCTCATCACAGAGTTCCCTTCTCATTCATGTCTGCTATGATCCTGTGTAACAAAACACACCATTCATGGCAAATAGTTAATGATGTCCCAACTGTAAGTCTCTGCTATTTCATGTATACTGCTTGTAAGATTATTCTGTTTTCACAGAGTTAAAAAAAATCCATTATAGAATGTGACCATATTTGAGATTAACTTTTTGAGTAGTTGTCTTCGTTCATTTGCATCCTATCTCAGTATGTTCTGGAAAGTACTTTTCCCGGCATCATGTGATCAAAATGTACTTTGTGTTTCAGGGTCTGTTGACTTTCGGGGATGTAGCTGTGGACTTCCCACAGGAGGAGTGGGAATGCCTGGACTCTGCTCAGAGGGCTTTGTACATTGATGTGATGTTGGAGAATTACAGCAACCTGGTCTCAGTGGGTGAGAACATTTTGCTTGTAGAATTCCTCACTCATCCTTCGTACGTACTGACTTCATAGGTTATAAACTCTCCGTTAAGCTGCCATTGAAACTACAGGAGACTAGGAAATTTTGATAGTAGAAAAGAACTTTCTCGTGGTATTTAGTTTTTTCTTTTATTTTCTGTTTTTGAGAACCCTTCATTTAGTTTCCAAGATGCATTTATGAACTCAGTAGTGTAGAATACTTCCACCAGATTCTTAAACCCCCATGTCCTTTATAGTTGTTTAGCGGTGGCTATGAGAATGAATCACAGAAAACAGCAACCCCACATGGGAGTTTATTGATAGAGGGCTCAGGGGGCATTTGTGACAGCCAGCTGGGAAAGAGAAGTAGTACAGAAGAGAGGGATGGGGAAGGTGCAGGTAGAACTTGTCCTTTTTTCATGCCTACAGAGCCTACACAGCCACATAACATATGACTTAATGACATACGGCTTTGGGCCCCTGGGCTGACTAAGTATTTGCCTGAATGCTGGCATATTGATCCTGTTGCCTACCGGGGGCTGGCCAGCTTAATGCCTAGATCCTAACATTCCCACTTTTGTTAATTATTAAAAGGTAAGGAATTAAAGAGCATACTAGTTAGGGCAGGGATGAGGGTGCCTAGATCTCAAGACTCCTTCCTGCTGACATAGGGGATGCCAACCATCTTTGGGGGACCTGAGAAAGAAGGAGTGCTGGCCATGTCCTAGGGTAGCTGGTGTTTTCACTACCATCCAGTGTGGAAGTGTTTGGTGTCTCTTGGACCTGGCGAGATGCTGTCATAACAGAAGATAAAGTTAAATTTAGGAAAAAATATTTTCTTATGTCCTGGTAATTGAAGAAGGGGAGTGTCAAGACCAGGGATAGGTGGGGAGACTTAGGCTGTCTATTGACAGTTCTTTTCTGGAGTGCATCTTACCTGTTCTAAGAACTTTGAAGGCTTAATATAATAGTAACATAGAGAGAGATATCTGGAACATGTTTTATTCTTTTAAATGTCTCAAATCATGTTTTTAAAAAAATTACCAATTAGCTTTTGTCTTTACAAACCTTAAAGCACCTGTTCTTTCCCCATCACCATGGCATCACCTTAACACTCAGGAGACACAGGTGGTTGATCTCTGAGGACTGTTAATAGTACAGAATTGTATTGAAATCTGTTTTGTGAGTCTTCTTTTTCTGAGTCTTGGGGTGTGAATGTCTCTGGGGTGGTGTTGTCTCTCATGACTTGTTTGATAGTCTTGTGCCTTCAACTCTGTGGCTAACAGCTGATAGTCCTGTAACAACAACTGACTTGTTTGATTAGAAGTTTTGAATAAGTCATTGGTGATACATAGACAGGAGATCAATCGAAGCAGGGTGTTATTAATATAAACAGGAGAATATGGATCAGCCTGCGGGAGGAAGAGGAGTCAGGAAGGAAAGCATATGGGGTTCCCAATCTGGCAGAGTACAGTTGTGGGGTAAAGCCTCATTCTTCTGAAATTGGGGATAAGGCAGTTGATCTTGGTGTCCTCTGAAACTTAAGGGAGCAGGGTCCTGTCAGAGTTGCTGTGTATGAAGAAGGATGAGCTTGAGGTGGAGGGGTAATGGGTTTGAGATGAGATAAATGAATGCAATGAGGAAGGCCCTTAAGCTGAGTAGCTGTTGGAGTTACAAGAATTACTTTGTAGGGGCCCTGCCATTTGGGAGAAAGACGTGAGGGGCATTGGTCTGGAGGAGAGAAAAGGACCTGATCCCCAATGTTGATCAGAGATGGATAACGGCCATACATAGTTGAGGTAGAGAGTAGTCACTAAAGTTCCATAGATGGGAACAAAGGTGGTAAAGTAAAGGGGTCAGGGAAAGCTGAGAGTTTAGGTGGGAGACTGGGGCTTAGAACCGATTGCCATACGTGACATCAAAGGGTAAGATGGGAAGAGGTCATTTGGGGAGAGTCTGGAGCCTGAAAAGAGACAGAGGCAAGAGCTTTACTTAGTCATGGTGACGTTTCTCTGACATTTTATTAAGAATGTTTTTTTTTTAAGCAGCGGTTAATTCATTCTGTCTTTCCTGAGGACTGGGCATGGTATGGGATATGGAAAATGCCAAGGGGTGGTGAGAGGTTTAGATAGTTTGAGAGGTCTGAGAACCAAATTCAGGACTGCTGTCTGACTGAAGAGAAGCTGGAGTTCCAAACTGGGGGGTAATCTCCCTGAGAAGGAGGTCCAAGACTGCTTGAGCTCTCTCTCTTTTTTTTAATTTATTTTTTATTGAAAATTTCCCCCTCCTCCCCTCCTCCCATCTTCCTCCTCTCCCCCTACTTCCTCCCTCTCCCTCTCCAGTCCAAGGAACAGTCAGGGTTCCCTACCCTATGGGAAGTCCAAGGTCCTCCCTGCTCCCCCCAGGTCCAGGAAGGTAGGCATCCAAACAGACTAGGCTCCCACAAAGCCCATCCATGCAGTAGAATCAAAACCCAGCACCATTGTCCTTGGCTTGTCTGTCAGCCTCCACCATCAGCCACATTCAGAGAGTCCGGTTTGATCACATGCTCCATCAGTTCCAGTCCAACTGGCCTTGGTGATCTCCCATTAGATCAGTCCCGCTGTCTCAGTGGGTGGACGCGCCCCTCGCGGTCCTAACTTCCTTGCTCATGTTCTCCCTCCTTCTGCTCTTCATATGGACCTTGGGAGTTTTGAACTCTTTTGTTAGAGGTTGGAAATGCTTCTATCCAGCCTGAGAATGTATTCACTAGGACCAGGAGATATTTAACTCATCTGACTATGGGCAGGTGGGTAAAATCAAGTTGCCAGTCAGTCCCTCAGAGGGAGCCCCTGGCTTGATGTGTAGGAAAAGGGAGGCTACAATACCTGGAATCAGGGTCTGACATCTGACAAGTTTTACAAGAGACAGTAATAGTTCTTACGAAATGCAAGCCATCAGGAGTGGGCTGGAACTGAGCCTTGACCAAATGAGAAAGAGCCTACCTATTGGGATGAAGGAACTGGTGTAAATGGGACAGAATTTGTCAAGTATCACTGGGTGATTGTGGAGATGTGGGTTGTAGAGTTTGGACTCCCTGTATTGGGCAGGTGAGTCTGGGCTGGGCCCTGGAGGGCTGCATCTCTAGCTGCCTTGTCAGCCTGGCGGTTTCCCCTAGAGATAATGGAGCTCTTGGTTTGATGAGACAAGCATATAGCTTTGGGGAGATGGGAGGCTTTCAGCATGGTGATAATCTGACCTGAGTTTGTTATGGGTTCTCCTTTCATTGTAAATAGCCTACACTCTTTCCAAATATCAACACTTGACAAGAGGATATGAAAAGCATGTTTAGAATCTCTGTAAACTTTTAGTAACAATCCTTGTGCCAATTGGAAGGCACTGGTGAGAGCTATTAATTCAGGCTGTTGATTAATAGTGTGCAGGGAGTGCCTGTGCTTCCACTACCCCAATATCTGATGCTATGGCATAGCCTGTTCTTCAGGTCCCCTCACATAAAAAGATGCTCTCATCTGTGTGACTGGTGTAAGTGGCCTGAGGTGCTTTCCTGTATGTATGAAGAATGTGGCAGTAGTTCCACTAGGGTTTCAATGCAAGAATGAGAAGGGGAGAAGTCAGTGTTGGGTTGAGAAAGATTTGAGATATAGAGGGGTGGGCAAGATTGGAAAGTAAGTGTGCCATCTTATACTGGTGCCATCTGGAGTGAAAGAACTCAGGAAGTGGGTAGAGTTTGTAAGCCTTTATAAGTGAGTGAGAGGAATGCCACTAAAAATGCAATTGAGTGGTCAGATATGATGAGGCAGGTAAAGCTGTCCCCCACCCTGACAATGGGGAGATGGGAAGGAGAGATAGGTCCTCAAAATCCCTCAGGACCGAGTATGTGGTACCGGTGTTGAAGAGGAAATAGATGGATTACATTAATACCAGGATGTCTACCTGAGGCTCCCTGATAGAGATGACAGTGGTTGGGTCAAAAGAGCCTGGGTCCCTTCAGTCATCCATGGCCAAGCCTAGGAGTTTGGCTGGAGGGTAATATATGTTTGATGTCTCCATGCCACAAATACATGGGAGCAATCGATTGACCAGTGTCCCTAGTGACCTAGGGGACCCATGGGGATTAGGGGAAGCCTGGGCCCAATTACTTTCCTGGCCACATTTGAAGCTGGGACTCAGAGACACTCGCTGAGGCTGTTCGGATGGCCTTGGCCAGCATTTGGTATTTTTATTCACGGGCTTTCTCATATCTCCCATGATATAACTTAAAGGCCAGTGCTAAGACTTTTTTCTGAGACATTAGGGACCTTTTTTTTTTAATATTTAAGTTTGACACTAATGTTGGCGAAGCTCTAGAAAAAATAGGTCATAAGGAGTTGTCTGCCCTCTGGTTGTTCAGAATCTAGGTTAGAATATTGTAAGAAGGCCTTTGTGAGGCATTCTAGGAACTGAGACAGATTTTCCTGTTCTGAACTATTTCCTGAAGTTTCTTGTAGTTCATTGGTATAAGGGTAGACTTACAGAGACATGCCAGGAGGCCAGTTGTAAACTGATCTATAGCTAGAGAGCTCCCTGGAGTGTATTATAATCCCATTTGGTGTCACGATCGGGGACCACCTCTTTCCCAACTGGATGTGCTGCATTAGTTTGATGAACCTTGTCTGCATGGGCTCTAGCCAGTTCCCAAACTTGCCTGCATTCCTCAGGGAGTAGGTTGTTAGGTAAAATCATATATATGTCACAAAAGGTAAGACTATAAGATTGCATTATATATTAGAATTCCTTTATGAAAGTGGTAGATTTGGAGGTATAAGAACCCAGTTTTGTTTTGTTTTGTTTTCTGTTTGGGAGAGGTTTGCCATAAGAAGGGGACATGTACCTTGACCAATTTATTCACTCTGGCTACTTCTTGCAAAGGGAGA